TTTCACTATAATAAATTTTTATTTAAACATTCACCGTATTTTTTTATCACACCTCATATATACAGGGGTGCCAAAAAAATGTATACACATGATTTGTATTCATCTTTTGTTATCAGTATATATTGAGTGTTACAATTTTGATATTTTTTCCTTTCTTAAAATGTGTGTACAGTTTTTTTGTCACCCTCTGTGTGTGTGTGTGTGTATATATATATATATATACACACACACACACACATACACACACACACATCTGTATATACAGTATGTATGTATATATGTAGGCTGTGGGCTGTTCCAGTTATTCTTGGTTCATGGTCAATTAAGCAACTAATAAAATAAATCTCGGTTTTACTCAAGCGTCTGTGTGCTTCCCCCATTCCTAAATTTAATAGTTACACATGAGGTGAGATTTAAGTTTTATCAGTCTAACCTATCACCACATAGCTGTCAACTCATGAAAATGAAAATGTGGATAGAATACACTTTAAGAAATAGATTGCCAAAAAATAGCTCATCAGCAAGCCCTGTCAGCTCCACCCACAAAATAGATTCCTAATCTTTACACTAGTTCTCTTTTCTTTCCTCTGGAATCCTGCCTGCAATCATGGTTTCTCTGCTGTTACAAAACCCCTATCACCAATTTCTGACAAATGTACAACATATCAAGGCATTCTCCTACCTAAAGTTCTCCAAAAGCTTCTCACTGCACTTATAGTAAAATCAAGCTCCCTACAATGACCCTCAACTCCCTTTAACCTCCTATTCATGCCTATGAGGCCTATATAATATGGCGCTTGCCTACCTCCCCAACTTCATCTCCCTCCAGGAACTCTGAAGGTCACTGTATACTCTAACCCCACAAGGCTTTCATTCTGGTCCCCAATTATACCAAGCTCCTTCTCACTTGGTCAGAGTAAGAGTATCCAATACCCTGTTTAACAACCTTAGGGCTGTTTCCTGGACTTGGAATGCTCTGACCCCAGGTTTTTCCATGGCTGACTCCTTAATATTCAGAAGCAGCTCAAATGTCACCCCCAACAACCCAATTTAAAAGAACACCACACACACACACACACACACACACACACACACAAACATCCATCCATCCTATTATCCTGTTTTGTTTTCATAAATTTGTCTCTGTCTGAAATTATGTTGCTCATTTATTTGTACTGTGTAACAACCTCCACACCCCCAAAACACACACACACACACACACACACACACACACACACACACACACACTCAGTCACACACGTAACTTCTTTGGACATGCGGATATTCCTTGCCGAATCCCCAAAGCCTAGAACAGTGCCTGGTACCTAGTGGATACTCACTATTTATTGAATGATAGATTCCACCTATCCCAAACTTTCCCAAATCTTGTTTCTGCCTTGGATTTCTAGCACTTGTTCACTATCACATCTCTTTGGTCTGTTCCCTTTTCTGAATTTCTTTTGGTCTCATTCTGCTTACTGTAACATAGAGAAAAACAGAACAAGGAGCATAAAAAGAAAGACGTTAATGATCATAGAAACCTACTCAGCCTATGCTACTGGCAAGTGGGGCAGAAGGCCAAATAAAGTACTTCTTAAGGGCAAAGCCCTTAGGAATGATCCTGTCCATTAGTGCAGTTCTGAAGGGCAGCATCAAAAAGAATTATGGGGCTGGCCGAGTGGCGCGATGGTTAAGAGCTGGCTTGGGATGCCAGAGGGCCCCGGTTCGGATCCCACATATGAGGGCCAGTGAGACTGCCCTCTACAGCTGAGATGCTGAGCAACAGCTCAACCTGGAGCTGGGCTGCTGTGAGTCGCCGGTGACGGCATAGGCTGCTGCCCCTGTGGCAGTGGGTTGCCATGGGCTGCCGTGTGTGGCCAGCAGCCAGCGTGGGCGGCCAGCAGCCACAGTGAGCGGCCATCCAGAGGCTGACAACTGATGTGCCTCGCCCGGGAAGAGCGCAATGATGGTGCCAACTTGGGCCAGTGAAGCAACATCCTCCACAACTAGACTGAAGAACAAAAGGGCAGCAACTTGTCTGTTCCCCTTCCCCCAATTCCCCAGCACTGTTCCCATCCCCCCAATACCCCAATAAAAATCTTAAAAAAAAAAAAAAGAATTATGGAGGTAGCCTGTCTGTGGCCTAAAAAAAGTACAACACGCCCTGTGGACACTCAGCAGTTCTTACAAACTTTATAGCAAGCAAAATAGGTTTCGACATGATCTGCGAATCTGCACTTTCAACAAACACCCCCCAGGTGGTTCTGATACAGGCAGTCTTTGGAAACTTTGAAGTCTTTGGCCAAACAAAGAATAGCAAAGACCCAAGGGATGGTATTACCAGATAGACAGTTTAACCAACAAAACCCTTTTATTTTTAATCTCTACTTTTAAGCTGATTCTCAAAATGAGTCAAATTCCATTTTAATTTTTGCTGAATATTATTTAAATTCATAGGTATTTACAGCTTTTAACCATTTTAGAAACTATAATAATAGCTACTATTATAGGACAACTGCTATGTTGTACATGCTATCATCAGTGTTTTACACATGTATCTTATTATCCCATTTATAGATGAGCTTCACTTAAATAAGTACAGACAACTATTAAGAAGACAGATTCAGAGCTGGCCAAGTGGCTCATTTGGTTAAAAGTTGGCTTAAGAGCGCACAAGCTCTGAGCAACAGGGCCGCTGGTTCAATTCCCACATGGGCCAGTGACTCTGCACCTGAGCTGAGTTGTCACTGAGCTGCCAACAGGTGGCAGGATGGCTCAGCTGGTGTAACAAGATTGCCTGTTCGATGGTGGGCTACGTACCTCCACCCGCAACTAAGAACTCGGCACCTGGAGCTGGGCTGCCACCAGGATGGCTCAATGGATAAATTGTGTGCTCTTAATAACAAGGCTGCCCGTTCGACTCCCGCATGGGATGGTGGCTATGCCCACTCACAACTAAGATTGAACACAGCACCTTGAGATTAGAGGCCATGAGCTGCCCACGGGAAGCCAGATGGTGACTGGTGCCCTCCACGATGAAGATTGAAGAACGACAACTTGTCTGTTCCCCTTCCCCAATTCCCCAACACTGTTCTCCCCGCCCCCAATTCCCCAATAAACTCTTTTAAAAAAAAAAGTGACAGATTCAGAAATCAAACACATCTGTATATTACAAGTCTGTGTTCCATGGACTCTATACCTCCCACTAATTATTCTTATTAGAAGTAAAACCAATAAATAAAAATTCAGGTTTGTAAAGGAAGAGAGGGGATTCTTAAATATTCCTCACTTTAGAAAAAGATTGCCTGGGATTTCATTACATGGTGAATTTTGACAGTACATTTAAATACCTTAACAATGGCATGGCAACCTCTGAAAATGAATAAATCTTAAGAGTCTTTTTCTAAAACAAATAATCACCCTTTCAATCAAAATTACTAAATATTAAACTCGTTCACTATTTATAGATCTGGCAGTGGTTCTCAAACTGGGCTAATAATCAAGAATCATTTGAGGAGCAGCTTAGAAACAAAAATTCTAGGCTTCACATCAGTTCTAAATCAGAATCTCTGGGGGTGTGACCCCTCCCCAAATCTTTATTTTTATAAGGCTCCCATGGGCTTCTGATTAGTAACCAGGGTTCACAACGACTGTTACCCTGACCCCAGCATTCTACAAGTGAATACATTGAGGACCTAGAAGGGTAGCGTCTGCCTAAAGACATAAAGTAGCACAATAGGATGGAAAAACAATATCCTCCACATTTGGTGCTTTTAACACCAAGCTGTTTTTGGTAAGACTGTACTTATTTATGCTCTGATGCATATGACCTGCTGATTACAAGCCTCCTGCAACTTATTCCCTCATCTGAAAACTGGGAATAATAGTGCCTAACTCTTAAGAGTTGCTGAGGATTAAATAGTATAATATCTATAAGGTAGTGTCCTTTTTTTTTTTTTTTTAAGCTGAGCTCAGTGGGCTTGGGCCGGGCATCAAACCACTATTGCTCAAAGCTCGCACTCTTGAGCGAGGTCTTAACCAACTGAGCCACTCGGCCGGCCCTGTAAGGTAGTGTATTTAACACAGGGCCTAGCATATATTGAGTGTTCATTATATAGGTCACATAGCTCCCTAAAAAAGCATGCCTTTTTTAACTGAAGAAGGTTTACTGAACCACTTCAATTACAAAATGAACAAGAAGCCGATGTTTAGCTTTGGAAGTACAAAAGGACTTTAAACTCAGGGTAAGGCGAGGGTCAAGAGCTTGCCTAACTCTTGCACAACACTCTTTCTCATAGGATGCCTCAGAATCATCTTAGTGGATCAATCTCTGGGTGATGAGCAGTAATCTGTATTTCTAAAAACCTTCCTCCTCCAACCAGGTATTTCTTAGGCAAACCAAGGTCTGATAACTATTAGTATACAGAATCCGTGACCACAGCAAATTGCCTCTCAAGTCCCAGCAAAAAACAACTGTACTCTGTAACGAGACGAGCAGCGTCACCAGACTCTGATGCAAACAACAGCTGGGGATGGCTGTGCAAAGTAGTGGTTGTGATCACCAGGGAAGGCCTCGACCCTCTTATCTCCTAAAAAACTGTTAAAATTACGAAGGCGCCAAGCTCGTCCTATAATCCCCATGGCAAACAGTGCTGCCTAGGGGGCCACAAGGAGCTAAAGTTAACTCAACAGCCTCCTTCCCAGGGGTGACGCCAGAGGAAAGCGACCCTGTATACAGCTGACCACGCCGGAGCGGCGCCAAAGGTTAATGACCCTCTTGCCCTGTTCCTTGTGATGGCCAAAATCCTCCACTACTCCACAGATCAGCTGCCGGAAGTGCGTCGCCCCAGCCTGCTCGGGATGCTGGAAGTTGTAGTTAACTGGCTACTTCTCTCGCGCCCCAATTCGCCTTTTTTCAAATAAGCAAACACCTTGGAACTGTAAGGAAGGTCTCTCTATGACCAGCAAATCTTATCCTTCCCTTTTCCAGCTGACAAAGGGAACTCGCAGAAAGCATGCAAAATCTTGGACTACAAGTCCCAGCATGCTCTGCACCGCGTCCGGACCGGCCGGACACCATCGTAGGTGCGGGCCGCATGAATGGAGGAGCATTGGGCGTAAGGCCAAGCCTGCCGCAGTCCACACGGCCCCGGTACCTACTCCCAGAGCGTGAGTGCGGGGTGTGGGCCGTGCGCGTGCGCGTGCGCGCTCGGAGGGGGCGTGTGGCAAACGCGCCCGGCCGTTGCGGGCGCGTGGGTGCTGAGTTTGGCGCCAGCTGTGCCGCGCGCCCGACGGACCGGTAGTTGCGGGACCTCCCGCCTCGCCCGGGGCTGCGCGCAGCCGTGGCGGCCGCCGGAGACCGCAAGGGGCGGAGGAAAGGAGGGGGCCGGCCGCGGCACGCGGGGGAACATCCGAGCATGCTCGGAGACAACATGGCCTCCCTGATCCAGCGGATCGCCCGTCAGGCGTGCCTCACCTTCCGGGGCAGCGGGGGCGGCCGCGGCGCTTCCGACCGCACCGCGGTCCCAGACCCCGAGGCGCCGGTGCCGCAGGGCTTCCCGGAGAACCTGAGCAAACTGAAGAGCCTTCTGACCCAGGTCCGCGCCGAGGACCTGAACATCGTCCCGCGCAAGGCCACGCTGCAGCCCCTGCCGCCCAACCTGCCACCGGTTACCTACATGCACATTTACGAGACGGACGGCTTCAGCCTCGGCGTGTTCCTGCTCAAGAGCGGCACATCCATCCCGCTGCACGACCACCCGGGCATGCACGGCATGCTCAAGGTGCTCTACGGCACCGTTCGCATCAGCTGCATGGACAAGCTGGAGGCGGCAGGCGGGCAGCGGCCGCGGGCTCCACCGCCAGAGCAGCAGTTCGAGCCGCCGCTGCAGGCCCGGGAGCGGGACGCCGTGCGGCCCGGCGTGCTGCGCTCGCGGGCCGAGTACACCGAGGCCAGTGGCCCCTGTGTCCTTACGCCACACCGGGACAACCTGCACCAGATCGACGCTGTGGACGGGCCCGCCGCCTTCCTGGACATCCTGGCCCCGCCCTACGACCCCGACGACGGCCGGGACTGCCACTATTACCGGGTGCTGGAGCCCGTCAGGGCCAAGGAGGCCTCCGGATCGACCTGTGACCTTCCTCGAGAGGTGTGGCTCCTGGAGACCCCGCAGGCCGATGACTTCTGGTGCGAGGGGGAACCTTATCCAGGTCCCAAGGTCTTCCCTTGAAGCCGCAGGCACCCGGGAGTGGTAGGCCAAAGACGTGCCCAACTCAGTTCTGGACCTGGCAGCCAGCGACCCACCACAAGGGCTCTCCCAACCCCCAGGCCTGGGCATTGGATATACTAGAGTAGGCTGTAGCTGCTGCTTCGAGAGCCTTGGGAAGCGCGGACGAATGGGACCGCAGCCACTGGGCACGGTTATGGGGGCGGGGTAGGCAGGGAGGCAAGGTTGTTTCCTGACTCTGTCACTGCCACCAGTGTTTTGATTTGGGGGGAGGGGAGCAGGGGACTATGTGAAGCGCTTCCATCCTAAAGCCATAATGAAAATGTTCTTCCCTCCGTTCCTCATCCTATACAAAATACACTGAGAGGTTTTCTCATCCCTCCCCCACCCCCTCCTTGGGTAAATGGGGTTTGTTTTCCACTTACGTTCTTATGCCCTTTTACTCCTTATAGTTTTAACTTATTGACTGTGCATGACCCAGTGATTTGAATTGATTATAGTTCAAGTCATTGGTAAAAACCCGACTTAAAGAGATGAGCTGTTTAAAGTGAGCTGTCCTGCCTGATTAATTTGTTGTGCAAATTAAATCATTTTTTCCAGAGTTAGGAGATCATCCCCAAAACATAACTATGCATGTAGAGGACAAGATTTATTTTCTTTCCTTCCCTTGCCCGGTAGCCACATCTGGTTTACTCCGGCAGCATCTACTAAGAAATTCACACCTGTGTATCTCAGTGACAAATAGTCACATAGAGCTTATCTTCCCCTTGAGTCTCCAGATGTGTGAGTTGAGCCGATTTCTCTTTGCAGATTCGCCTTTAATGCAAAAAATATATTACCCTCAAGTGACTTTTTTTGTCTTACTGTACTTTAAGAGGTGGTAGGGTAATTTTGTATTGTCTAACCAGAAGATTCAGAGGAGCTGAATCAGTATGCTTCCAAACACCTGAATGTAAAACACCCCTAGCCAGCTGTTGAATTCCATGTCCCTATTTACTTCTAGTATTTTCCTGCAAAAGTAGAGAAAGTGTGGGTGACTGTTTCAAATTCAGCTCTGATGTTCCAGAGGGCTGGTGCTTTCAGCTGTGTTGTTGGTGGCAGTGTTCTCAGAACCCTCCCTCAAACAGGAGAGAGCCAGTGCTTCATCTTTTCTGTAGGAAGAAAGAGAAGGCACTGGTCATCAAGGCTGGGGAATTGAGAATTAACAATACTGCTGGCCAGTTTAGAGCACCAAAACTTGGGACCAAACACTTCGCACTCCTCGTCTCCAAATGAACAGTTGTGCTATTTATGACTAGTTTTATTTTTGTCCTTTTAATAAGCTGAGCAACTTGACCTTGTTTACAGAGGCATTGACACCATTTGCTTCAGGCCATGGAGCACTATTGTTTCCCTCTTTTTATTATTTACAAGATTGCTTTTTTCACAAACTTTTAATAAAAACAAACTGTAGAAATAAACACATTAAAATTTGCCCAGCTGTTGTCTAAGCCCTCTTGATTGACTTGCCCATGTGGCAATCGAGTTCTAATAGCTGTACTAAAGGGAGATTTGCTATTGGCGGAAAGTGTCAACCTTGTAGGGAAACAGTATGTGCCTTTGCCTCTTTATGCACACTGGGTTTTAGAGGCCCAAAGTGAAGGAATATTTGTTCCCAATTTTTAAAAGAGAATTAAAAAGCAAATTCTTGCTTTTTTTTTTCTCTCTTTACAAAAATGATGCTTATTCAATGTGTAATGCCACTATGTTATAAAACCTGACAGGCGTAATACCAAGCGTCTCCTAACATTGGTTTATGGTAGCTTCATGTTCTGGTGTGGTATAATGTACCTTGGAGGCAGTTTTAAAGCAGACCTTCATGCCATTCAGTTTGGAAATCAGTTCTAGATATGCAAATGATGATTTTCTTAGAGAAGTGTTCACCAAATGGGTTTTTTTCATAGCACAGTATAGGTATCGATCTCATATCTACCTGGTTTGAATTATTGTAGCAAAAAGTTGATTAACTTATAAAAATTGTCAATAGTGATGTGTATGTTATAATACAATCTGGAGTACATTAAACTAACCTATAAAAACTCTGGCAATAGGAGAGTAATAAAGGAGGAATTGTTTTCCCAAATTTCATTATGAAAAGTTTTAAAGTTCTCAAGTACAAACAAGTTGAATGAAAGAAACCAAGGTGCTTTTCAAAAGAATAAGTGAAATCGTTGCAGGCCAAAACAGCAATATGATACCTCTAATTTAGTTCAATGAGAATAGTGAAACTTTTGATTCACTAACAAATTCTGAATAACTTAATGGTGAACACAAAATGTATCTTGTTTTAGTGAGCCACTAAGGAAAGAATATTAACTACAAAGATAAATGTGGTGCAGAAAAACCTTACACCTTTCTGCATAAACTTAAATCATGACTGTGCTGCTCTGTGTTTTCTTATATTCCTGCAATATAGAGTGTATTTCAGTAACAACTGTGGGAAAAAGTTGTCTTCCCCTACAAAGGCTGAGCACAATGATACTAATCACTTAATTTTTCTGTTGAATAACAAATGCAATAATTGCCACTCATGGGTGAAAAGTTGTCTAATTACTTCTAAAGCCTTTTAATTCTCTGGTTATATCAAAGGCCACTTATATCAATGGAGAGTATTGTGTACCTACCTACTATTTTATGAGAATTGAATTTTTACTAAGCCTGATTTGCATGGATTGAGTTTATACCAATTGCTGTTTATTAATGAAAATGGTGGGCCTATTTTTAAAGTAATATGTGTTTGTCAACCGGAGTGGGTTCTCTGACCTTTTAACATAGCCCTTAACTTCTCCCCAAATCCACAACTTTCATCCCCCCTTTTGCATTGTCCCCTTGTAGGTGCCTCAGTCCTGGCATCTCAGGACTCTGTCATCACTCATCTTGTGCTATGGCTCTACTGCTCAATGAAGAAGCAATATATCTTTAATTCAGGACTCTGCCCAGTGCTATTCAACTCTAACCTGAGGGCAGTAACACTCATGTAACTCCTGGTCTGAATTCAGAACTTCAGGTTACAAGCAAGCTGACCACTGATTGCTTCAGTGCAATACGGCATCTACTGTCAAGGAAATCATTTGTTAAACCCTATTTAGTTACTGAATCTTCAGGTCCAGGGATGTTTACATTTCTGGGTCCAAATCAGTGTACTTATGGAAAATAAAGGCATGTTTGAAATTGTTTAGAGGTAAATCTTATTTTATTATTGCAAAATGGAGAAGGAAAATATTATAATGGTTACATTTTACTGTTAAAGGTTCACTGTCTATACTGTAAGATTATGTTGTACTAAAAATTGCTGGCATTCTGCAGATTCTAAAATGCAGTAATAATATAAACTTAAAAGTTTATTTCCTTGAGAGTGAGTTTTGAAACAGTCTGATTGAAAATGCATCTGAAACTGTTTAATCATACTGTTTTGCTACAACAAAAAAATACCTTTTATATTTCACCTAAGGAAAATAAGCTAGTGCAAGAAAACAAAAATACTTTTATCCACAATGAAAAAATCTTTGGACTTAAGTATTTTCTTGTCTTTCCTTTTTCTGTAAAATTGGTTTAATTGTTTGGACTGGAAGCATATTAGTCATGTGCGATGATGCTGACCATTCTTTCATACATACACACACACACACACAAATTGTATTGGACTGTCACTACAGCCATTTTTAATATATATACCAAACAATTTCATTAGTAGTTAGAATATTGAAATTAGCCTGGTTTATGAATAATTGAAAACCTTAAGAGGTTTAATAGACTTGTTTTTAATGTGTACTGAACCATCTCAAATGCATTATGTTCTTTAAAGAATTTACTCTCCGGAAGTTTATTTTTAATAAGAATTCCCAGTAGCAGCTGAAACATCAATACTATTCAATAAAGCATATTGAATATAAGGATCAGACTTGCCTTATTTTTTGAGCAAAGTAAAAAATGAGACACGTGTGAAAAGTACCTGAATGTTTCAAGCAGAGAGTAAAATCTGATTAGAGATATACCTAACGTTGAAATCAAGGAGTAAAAGCCACAAGGTTGAAAAAAACCAAGGTGGGTTCCTTACGGTTATACCCCTGTCAACGTGTAAGTGATTATGTAACTGATTTGACTATTTAATAAAATTTAATCTTATTTTTAAAACAACTTTTAAAAACTTTTTTAGTTGATTGCTTCATAAACATTTACATTGTCTTGATTGAAAGTGCTCTGAAATTAGAATTTGGCAAGACAATTATAGATCTTACAAAACTTAAGTATACTATATTCTAATGAAATTTTGGAAATTTAAAAAAACGTAATTATCAAAATGTGGTATTGTTTTATACGTATTAAAATTGGCCATGCAAGAATGATAATACACAGACAAGCTAGGAAATATGAATCCATTGGAAGAAGGCCAGTCACTTGAACAATCTGAAACTGAAGTTTAGAAACTCCTGTTTTGTAGTTATAGAAAGAGATATTCTGCATCTTTGAAATTTAGACAGGAAGAAATAAGGAAAGGGTTGATTACCTCCACAAATTAGATCTCAAATTCTAGTGTTGGTTAAGGGCAAAAAAAGTAGTTTCCAGGAGTAGCTGCTCTCTGCTAAAATACAGGCCATCAATTATCTGGACTGAGTTTTCACGTGGTGTAGTTAAATAGTGGGTGCTCCAACATGTTACACTTGTGTAAGGATCCAAAAGCAGTGAGTGAACTTAAAGATTTAGACCCAATTTTAGAGTAAAGATAACTTCACAAAGACACAATCACTTGCTTTGTATGACAGGCAGATAACTTCTTGAATTTATATTTTAAAATTACAAAAGGCTTGCATAAAATGTATGTACTCTTGAAACCATTATCCAATACTGTAGAGAACTATATGTGCCTATTTCAGATGGTCTGTCAAGATTTTAAGGCTGGTTACACGTATGTAATGAGCTGGGTATTTTGATGATCTTAGACCCATCAAATCTATGGCAGATTAATGATCTTTCTGAATTGGGGTAATTGGGGAGAGAAGGTGGGAGAGAAATGAGTCCTGGGGTAATTCCTTTGGCTACCCATTAATGCTGTCATCAGCAGTGTCTGAATGCATTTTTGATTTGAAGGGGTGATAGCGCTTTTCAAAAAGTTTTCTGTGGTCATGAGACTAATCTTGGAACCTGAAAGTCATTTCCAGCTTGACCAAGCCACCACACTTTCCACAAAGCCACATCTCCACTGAGTTCCTGGCCCTGGTCAGGGTTCTAAAAGCAGCAGCAAATGTGTAGTCTCCGAGTGGGCACTTGTTTGTAAGTATTTATTTTCCGGAGCCCACTCAGGAATGGAGAGAAGCTATAGGCTGTTACAGAGGACGGAACAATGAGTCAAAACAACGCCTCCCCATTTTTACACTAATGCAAGGGGGAAATCCCCGAACACTACAGTTTGATTATGAATGGAGATTTCTTTGGGGTGAGAGGGCTGGTGTTGAGAGGCTAGCAAAGAAAACTTGGAGATCCCGGCTTGGTCAAAGCACTAAAAACCACTGGATGCCTGTTGAATTCCCACCCAGTAAACCTTTCAGAAATGATTTCTGCTGCAAAAGTATTGTTGGAAAGTATTTATTTACACTATAGTCATAAACCATCAATTATCTAAACTTCAGTTAGTGGTTTTGTGTTAGAATAAATCATTTGTATTTCCACAACTATTAAGAGCTAATAACCAAACAAGTCAGCTCCAGTAACATTATTTACATTCTTATCTGCAATTTGACTACAAAGATAACACTTAAGTCACAAAACAGAGCATACAAAAATATACTTTCTAAAAAAAATTCCAAATATTAATAGGCAGAAATATACAGCCATACTAAACCAAGGGAGTGATGATTTTTTTTTTTCCATAGTAAGGCAACCCATTTACATGCAGACCCTGTAACATTGTCTACATCACAAGGCACCAAGGACACTTCCAACACAATTGCATGCATCCTAGTTTCAGAGAATATATGTACATCCCCTTTTAAATAAGTTAACCTCTGACTCATGTCAAGAGATCATAAATGCTTTACTTTTTTTTTTCCCAAAGGTTCAGAACTTGGAGAACAGTGCACATCAAAAATACACAAAATCTGAGTGGATATACACTGCAAAAATAGTCTTTACGTTTCTCAAACAACTCAAAAAGGAGCAGATATTCCTATGTCCCTCCCATCACATTGCACTTCTATTCTCTGAGTTTATAATACATATTGCTTAAAGGGTTGAGACGAATAGATAAGCTTTGAATCACTGTTCTAGGGCCACATAATGCAGCATGCTTCGCTCACTGTACAGCGTCCCCCAAATCAGCCCCAAGCCATAAAGTGCACATCAGTTTTGCTTCTGTCTTTGCTGTCCCCACCTGGAGGGGTCAATCAGCATCTCCCAACCTACTGTAGAAAAAGTCTCAGATCAACTCTTGACATTCAGAGTCAAAAACTTATAATTGGTCAGAGTAAGGGGGGTGGGGAGCAAAACCTAGTCAAACAACCTTTTAAAGCAGGGTCAGGCCTCAGCCCTCTAGGCCAGGGACCCCCACCCAACAACCCCCTTCCGAATCTCCCCATGACCCTGGTGTGACAGTCAACTCACCAGAGAGACTAAGGTGGGCTAACAGGAAGGACCTGCTTCTAAATGGAAAGAGGGGCAGTGCTGGGCTCCACCACCTATGCCCAATGGAGAGAGGGGCAGGATAGGGTGGTAGTGTTTGTTGTGCAGCTCCAGTGGACAAAGGGCCTCCTCCAGGAGCTGATGTGTCAGCCTGAGTCTAATCTCAAGGTGTCCGGGTCCTAGAGGAGCAAGGGGCTAGGGATCCTCCACCAATAGTGCTGCTGTTGCTGCCGCACAGGGGCATCCCAGGCTGCGCGCCCCCTGTGCACGAGGCTGTAGAGGCTGCTGGCACAGAAGAAGAGGGGGCACTGCTTTTGCGCTCCTTCTGTCTCAGGTGGATCTTGGTGTGGCGCTTCCTCTCATCACTCCGGGCAAACTTGCGGCCGCAGTAGTCACAGGCAAAGGGCTTCTCGCCAGTGTGGGTGCGGATGTGGGTAGTGAGGTGGTCACTGCGGCTGAAGTTGCGCATACAAATCCGACACTGGAAGGGCTTGTGCCCCGTGTGGATTCGGATGTGCCGTGTCAGTTCGTCAGAGCGAGAAAAGCGCCGGTCACAGCCTTCTGCTGGGCACGGGTAGGGCCTCTCGTGCACAGGTGTCTTGCTAGGCCTGTTGGGGTACTTGCGAGGCCTCAGAATGGGCCGCAGTGGCAGGTGGTGGGGGTTATAGGCAGCAGCAGCAGCTGCTGCTGAGCTGCTGCCAGGCAGGCGGGGTCCCTCGCTGCATCCACTGGTCCCTGGCCCTGTAGCCCCAGCACTGGGGCCCCCCAGGGTAAAGTTGCGGATGGTGGAGAGTGGAGTGAGTGGAGGGGGGACTCGCAGGGAGTCCAGGGGGCATGGGAAGGGCTTGCGGTCGGGGCCAGGCGTACCATGTAGGTCTCTCTGGCACTGTGATGGGAAAAATCCAGGGTAGTCTGGTATCATGGGGAAGAGACCTGGGTCCGTCGCTGGCTTGGGGGACGGGTAGGAAGGAGGTGGTGGGTAGGCCAAAGAGGAGGAGGTGGAGGTGGTGGCTGCAGACAGGAACGCCGAGGGGTCCTGGTAGAGGTCTCCTGCACAGCCAGAATAAGGAGGTGGCGGTGGTGGAGAGTAGAGGTGGTCCAGGTCAGGCTGGGTCTGGGACATGGTGCACACACCCAGGGGTCCTGTCGCCAGTGGGTTGGGGGAGGCAGAGGTGACGCTGGATGAGGCTGTGGTCGAAGCTGGGGAAGTGACCCCTTGCAGGATGCCTGCACTCACAATATTGATGATGCCTTCTGGGTAGCAGCTGGCACCAGCGTACTGGGGGTCAATGGAGAACTTGCCCATGTAAGTGAAGGTCTGGTTTCGGGGTGCAGAGACAGGAGCAAAGCTGCTGGGATATGGGAGATCCAAGGACCTCTTCTCTCCAGTCATGTCAATGTTGATCATGCCATCTGAGGAGGGAGAAGGAAGAAGAGAGGGGGAACAATGAGAACGCAGCCAACAATCCCTTCTCAACCCCCCTCACATGGGTCCATTCCCAAGGCCCAGAATCCTAGCATTTTAGGGCTAGGGCAGAGTCCACCTGGTGGGGAAATCACCGCCCAGGGACAGTAAGAAGAGGCTAGCCCCAGATCCGACTGTGGCAGGCAGTATAGTCTGGGACTCAAACTACCTCCAGGAAAGTAGGATGAGCTACTCCCAACCCCCCCACACAGCCATCTGTGACTCTAGTCCCCAATAAAAACACCCAATAATAGCAACAACCATGTTAAAAATTCCCCATCTGCCCGAAACTTCTCTCCCTCTCCTTTGCCTGGGGGTCCCACCGCTAGGGCGACTGATCCCAGCCAGTGCCACAAGGATGCCAGCCCTAGAGGGAAGCCCGAGGAAGGGGTCCGGGACCCCGGCTACTCCCCATCCCCGGTGCCTTTTTCACTGAGCTTCTGCTGACGGCTGCTAGAGGGAATCCGGCGCTGCGCGGAGGTGTACGGAGTTCAGAGGCTTCCTTTCCCTCCTAATCTTCTTCTCAGCCTTGCCCCACACCCGCGCGTCCCCGTCCCAGCCCAAGGCCAGTGACAGGGCTTCGAGGAAGGCGCTGGGGCCGCGGGAGATCACTTTCCGCCTCATCACCAAGAAAACCAGCGGCGCTGATGCCCCGGCGGGCCTCCCTCCGCAGCCAACGGGCCGCTTCCCGCCGCGGCCCGCCCTCCTCCTCCGTCTCCTCCTCCCCGCCTCGATAACCCCCTTAACTTCGCGGGCGGCGCACAGGTGGGGGGCGCTCCTTGAGGCTGCACTGGTTGCGCGTTCGAGACTTTCTCCGGGTTTGCTCTGCCCAGGAGGTGGCGGGGGGCGCTTTCCTCTGGAGCTTCTCTGCCGCTCGGCTCTCCAGACGCGCAGCTCTCCTCCAGAGCCCTGAACTTTCCCGTCACTTTGCCCCTACCCCAGGAGAAGGGAGGCCGGGGTACCGCCGGCTGAAGGGTCCGCACGAGCCCTGAATGTTGGGGCACCTCTCCTACTCTCATCCCTGCACTCGCCAGGGGCTGGGGCACGCGCGGCGCACGCACGCTGGCTCACTGGCGACCTGGTGCGTCTGCCCGCGCGCCCAGCTCCAGCGTCCGGGTCTCTGCTCCCGCGGGCTCCTCCTGCACCCAATTCCAGTCTTTAAAGCCAGTCAGCACCGTCCACCTCGCGCCCCAGCCCTGTCTTCCAAGTCCTGCACACGCACCGCACCCCACCCACAACCCCTGAGCGGCGTCAGTCCCTGCCAGCGAAGGGAGCGCGCAGCTTACCTCCGGCCACTCCGTTCATCTGGTCAAAGGGGCCTCCCAGTTCGGCATTGGGGAAGATGGTCACCGACGTGGCGGCGAGGTCCTCCACCGGGTAGATGTTGTCAGGCAGCTGGTGCACAAAACCACTGAGAGTTACTGGGATTTTGTCTACGGCCTTGGCGGTCATCATTTGCTCCTCGCACAACCTGGAGACCCAACTCCCTCGCTACCTGGAGTGTCAGAGAAGCCGTTTTGGAGAGGGATTGGACTGAGCCTAGGCTGGTATCTCCTTTTGCCCTCCACACTTAAAAATCACCAAAAAAAAAAAAAGAAAAGAAAAAGAAAAAGAATTTTTTAAAAAAATCCAACAGAAATAAAACTAGCAAACAAGTTGCTATATTTTTAAGAAAGAAGAAAAATGGCTATCTGCCACTGACTCTCTCCTTGTTCCAGCTGGGAAGCCAGGAGTTGCTGGTGTAGTGTTATTATAACAGTCAGTGTGTCCCCTCGCCGAGCTATTAATCAATTGCTGCTCTCTCGGTTAGACGGAAAGTGTTGCTCGAAGTATTTATGGACAGGTTCTCAATATCCGTGACGTCGCTGCCCATATATGGACTGAGGAACAGGGCTGGGCTAGGCGGCTTTTGCCGTCACATGGCCGATTTGCATACGGGCTCGGCTGCGCGGGCTCCGCCGGGCTCGCGATCCCTGCTCGCAAGCCGCAGGGATCCGTGGGGATCTGCGGCGCGGGCCCCGAGCCACAGCTCGGGTCCAGGGCGCAGGGTCCAGCGGGGAAGGGGAGCGCCGCGGGTCCGGCTCAGGCCACTACATAGAGCAAGCGGGTCGCGACTGCGGCGCGGCCTCCCGGGGCGGGGAGGAATTCCGGTTCTCCGGGACTTTCCAAAAAAGGCGAAGATCCGGTGCCGGCGGCTCCGCCTCCCCAGCCCTTGTTTGGGAGCCATTCCGGAAAATTAAACTTCGGAAAGAAACCGAGCGGAGCCGAGACACTACAGTCAAACCCCTACTCACTTTCTTGGCAGCTCAAAACCGCAAGCAAAAGGAGGCAGCGAAGAAGAAGAAGAAGAAAAAAAAAAAGCTGCATGCATTCACGGAAGCTGAGTGCTTTTTTTCTGAATTACTTGGTGGAAAGAAGTAGCTGATGATAAGAGTGAATGCGGTATTGCTTTTTTGGAAAGTCTGTTCTATTTATACAGGAGCGAAAACGGAACAGGTTTGGGGTTGTTTGTTTGTTTAAGTATTCTGGGCACCCTGGGGCTAAGGGGTAGACCCTAGGAGAAGCAGAATAACTGCCGGAGCTTAAAGAGAAATCCTCAGCCGGAGACACCCCCCCCTTCCTCTGCCCGCGCGCTCCCCGCCCCCCTTCAGCTGCCGCGCGAAGCGGGCGCCCTTCCCGGCGCGTCTGGGCGGTCGACTGTGTGGGGGCGTCCAGATGGAGTCTTGGACACTCACCCTGCCCTGCCTCACACACACACACACACACACACACACACACACACACACACACTCCACTTCCGCTACACACACTCCCGCCCCCGCTGCCTTTTTCACACACCCACTTGCACACCTTACGCTACACACACCTCCCTGTTGACAGCGAGCCCTTGCGTCCGCCTCACCAACAGTGCCCTGTCCGCAGAGCGGGAGCCGGGGCTTGTTGGACAGAGTGCTCTTCAAAGACACCCATCCTCATTCTACTGCCGGCATCAACCGACCGCCACCGCAGCCCTCGACCCCAGAGAGCCTGCATTCAGGTGTTGCGCCCTGTCCGTACCCGAGCCCTACTCCAGAACACAAACATTAGAGGAGGTCATCCTCCTTTCCCTCGCCATGAGCCACCTTGGTGAGCTCAGAGAGATCCTGCGTGACCGCCAACAGCGTCGCTAATGCCAGTTGGAACTACCATCACCCCACACGCGTTTCCCTTTGCGAATAAAAACTCTGATCCCGACGTAAACCTTTCTGTTTCGTTCCCAAAACAATTTTTTAAAAACTTTCCAGGGGTCCAAATAGAGACGGGTTTCTGGCTCGCTGAACGCACCGCTCCTACCTGCCGGCGCGCCCCGGCCTGCACCGGGAGCGCTCCAGGCCTGGCCCGGGCCCCGCGGGAGGCTTGTCCCAAGTGCTCAAGCCTGGCGCGCCGCTGCCTGCCTGGCCCTTCCCGTGCCAATGCAGCCAAGGCCTGGGATGGAGCGCGGGGGCAGCCTCTAGGGCCGGGGCCGGCCCTTTCCCGCCCCCAGTCCGGGACTACACCAGCATCGTGGGGCCCCGGCGGGCGAGAGCCACGGCGCCACGCCGTGGAGGAAACGCGGCGCTGCAGGCGGCTCTCCTGCCGCTCACCTGCCCCGGCCGCCGTCGCAGCGAGCCTGCTCCCTCCCGGCCCCACGCGCGGAGGTCAGGGCCCGGGGGCGGCCGGGAGCGCCTACTGCTCCTCCACCCGAGCGCCATTTCTCCCCCTGCCAGCCGCGATATCTGTTCTCCGGCGGCAGGCCTGATTCCTAACTTCAAACACCCATAGTAATTTTGGGAAAGTTTCTCGCTCGCGCTGCGCGCTCTTTTCCAATTGGAGATAAAAATAAAAGGGAAACGGAAGGAAATCGCAGCAAGGTTAGCACCCTTCTAGGTACCCCACCCTCGGCAAAAAAAAACGCGCAAAGCTCCGCGTCTAAATAAAGAGAAAAGATGGAAAGAAAACCGCGTTCTTACCACGTGCGTCAGCCCGCTCCACCGTCGCTCCGGCGGGTCCCGGGGCCCCCGCGCTGACCACCGGCAAGACGACGCCTCGGAGGGGATCCCGACTCGCATCTCCAGCCCTGGTCCGAAAAAAGAGCGCGGGATGACCGAGTTATGCAAATGTAGGTCGTGGCAGTGGGGCTCGGGTTACGGCCCCCGCCAGCCTCCGAGGTGAGGCACCCACCGGCGGCAAGCGCGGGCGCGGCGACTGCTAGCGCTTCGCTCCTCTTCATGCACGTGGGCGGGCAGGCGGGCGAGCGAGTCGCTTGGGGCCGCCCCGCGGCGGGCGCTGCTACCAACCCCGCCGGCAGCCACAGCGCGCTGCCCTGAGAAGGAGCTCCTGGACGCCCCGCATGCAGGGGCGAGCAGGGCGCACAGGGCAGGACGCAGGCTGGGGACGGCCCGGGAGAGGGCAAGCTGCGCGCTCTGCTGCTGCTACCCTTCCGGAAGGAGGAGGCTGAGTGGGGGTCAGATGGGGGAGGAATCCCCACCGAGGACAGGCGTGCTTGCCTGTTTCGTCTGAAAAGCAAGTTGGAGTAAATGGGAGTGACTGACCCTCTGGAATTATTTGGAGCTTTCCAACAACTCACACACCTCCCTTAAGAGCTGCGCCTGGTCAAGCCCACCTTATGCCGGGGTGGGTTGGGTTCAGGGGCAACCAGGAGCCTCAGGGAGGTTATGCGGGATCCCCGGAGGGTGCCTGGGGCCAGTCCTGGGAAGCCTTCAATCTCCGCTGGAAACGGGTCAGTAAAGACTTCCTGTTACCTTCTCCTTCTTTCTTCCTCCTCCTCCTCCCCCTCCTCCTCCTCCTTCTTCCTCTTCTTTTTTAAAGAGTGTAATGGAACAAAGTCTAGGCACACTCATTTCAAACCAGCCACCCTGTGGGTAGGTAATAAGTTCAAAAAGCTAAGGTGACTTGCCTAAAGTCACGCAGCTGATTAGTGGCAGTGTCCAAACTTGCAACCAGGTTTTCTGAATCCAAGTACAGTGCTCTGGTCGCTACATCTTTCTCTTAGGAAAACCCAGTTCTCGAAATGGAACAGTTCTTTGAGGATTGGGAGCCTGGCTCAGCCCACTAGGGAAGAAACAGGTCACCTTAGCCAACTTCATCTCTTTTCTTTGGCATTTCTGAGGAGAGGAAAGCTGAGGTCAAGGCTTTCAAAGGGCAAGGGACTTACACACACACACACACACACACACACACACACACACACACACACACGCACACACCGCGAAGGGAGAATTAGAATTTTGGGGCTCTCCAGACCTATGTTATGGATGGGGTAAGCAGGTTGGCACAAAGCCAGCATGCAAATAGGCCCTATAATAAGAGAAGCCAACCCCACAGTATCCTTCCTGGAGTGAAGAAGAAGTAAGAAAAGAAATAGAGACAGATAAAAACCCAAAGGTGTTTACAAAGTAAGATACCTATACTGTGCTGGGGAGGGGATTGGGAGAGGAAGGGGGGATGTGACAGTTGAATACAGATATGTATCATGGTCTCTACTTTCAGGCACTTGAATTTATTCTGATCAAAAACTGAACAGATAAATGCCTTTGTTTAAAAAAGAGTTGTCAAAATGCCCACATAAATGGGGGCACTCCAAAATGTATCAGGATTATTAAAGAGTAGCACATGGATGCCAAATTCTGATTTGCTTTGTCCTGATTTCAGACCCAGAAAGTAAAAGAGGAAGGCAGCAGACGAGCCCTTTAGTAGGCTTGCCTCTACCGGTGGGGGGATTCGGTAGGGGCAAGGTGCGGGGGAAGCTGCCTGAGGGTCCTCACTGGCCCTCAGAGTCCCCTCTCAGTGGTTTTCAGCTTTTTCCCACAGGGCCTGAGAATCACAATCAACTATGAGGCATGTACAAATAATTTGCTAACACTTGCATTTTGATTTATTAAGAAACATCGTGAACACCATTATAGACTATTCCTATCGTAATGTCATTTTCATCCACTTCCATTCTAATGCTGCTACCGGAGTGGGAAACAAAACAGTGTCAGAATTTCCCTTGACTGTGGACACATACACGAGGGTGTGGATCCCGTACTCGAATGACATAGGACATATGCACCTCAGAAAGAAGCAGGCTAGTTGCCAACCGTGCCATACAGCAAAGCCTTTCTTAAAGATGTGCCTGTGTGCTGAGCAAACTGATCACTGGTTCCCTACATTCAGCATCTCACTACAAACCTGGTAATCCTGGAGGCTATAAATCAAGCTCAGATTATGCCAATCAAAGTTGTTGTGAAGCCTGAAAGAAGCATTGCTTAACACCAGTCCAATGAGCAACCAAAGTCATGTGTCGTTGGCACAAATAATCTGGGCAGGAGGAAATAAGACCTCTATGATCTTATTTTGTAGCAGCAGCAGCAGCACTGGCCTAAGCAAAGGATGCCCAGGTTCCCTTTAGGGTGAACTATCATTAAGTCTATTGATCCTTCTTGAGCATCTCTACGTGTCAAGCACTATGCCAAACCCTGGGCATTCAGTGGTGCCTAAAATAAGGCCTGGTTCCTGTCCCCATGGAGTGTGTCGTCAATCACACAAATACACAATTGCAAACCATGGCAATGTTTGATCCCAATGAAGGAAGAACAAAGGACCCAATCGAGCCTAGGGAATTGAAGAAGGGTTCTCTAAGCACACAGAAATCTGAAGGTTATACAAGGATTGGGGGAAGGTGAGTGGATAGGGCATTCCAGGGAGAAAGAGCAGGTGTGGAAAAGGCCCTAAAGTGGGAGGAAGCGAAGTGCATTCATGGAATAAAGAAAGTGCAGCATGAGTGGAAACCTCCAGGCCGC